CACAATCTTGACGTTCGTTCGGCTCAGCTGGGAAGAGGAGGCTAGGCGTAGGGCGCAGAAAGCGCATTGCGCACCCATAGCAGAGCTCTGCTCAAGGTGTTGGCGAGGGTGTTGCTGCTTTTTCGAGAATTTCAGCCTTTTTGGACACGTGCCAACACGTGGCTGAGCTCAATTGGCCTGGCTGCTCCTGCTTCTCATTTCGTTCCACCAGGTTGTCCACAGCTAGAAGGACAAATTCAGGTCTTAGCTTGAACGTCAGCAAAGAAAGGTAGTCGTCACGATCTGCTCTAATATGATCTGATCAGTTTGCATTCGTCCGAGTTGCACATCGATCTTTACAGAGGGTGTTGAGGCAATCCGTTCCAGTTGAGAAGAGAAAAGGCAGTGGTGGAGGGTATCATGGCAGTTGTCACGCTATAAGATCTCAAATCCCAAATCAGGTGGGGAACCATAGTGACTGAGCTTGATGCATATTGCAACTGCTTTTTGCTTTGACTTCCTCTCAACTGCTTTGCTATTCAGAGACAGTGGCAGGCTCTTATTTTTCAGGGTTGTGGCAATGCGTCTGGTCGTAAATAGCTGTACATTCGTTCATCACTTGAATGCGAATATGAGATGGTTCTAGGAAGGAAGCTGTCCTTCACAGAGCAAAATCTGAGGCGTTGAGCAGGGGCACTGCAACTTTCATTTGATTTTGTAACTACCTGGAAGTGGCCTGGCCTGTGATCATGTAACGCAGGCAGGGACTTGTGCTGTCCCAAAATGCTAATTGAACACGTCCTTGTAAGAGCGATTCTTGCCACTACTTTTTAAATCATCAATTCTAGCTTGTCTCTAATCATAGGTTGCTCGTTGCAGGCAAACAGAGTCAAATTGCATAATGGCATCTGGCAATGGGAGCGCACCAAGCTATGGAGTAAAGTATCAGGTCAGCTGATCAAGAGAATGCTTTGAAGGTGCCTGAAGATTGAGACGCGAAGGATGCACAAGAAAAGCCAAACGTTTCAATTGCTACTGGAACCATCAACTCACCAACTGAATTGAAAATGATGGTCTATACAGCACACTCTTGGTGGCGCTGGATCAAAGCAAGCACATCTGAGCTGAAGAATGTGTGCTACGAGCTGTCAAGGAGACACACAGTTGCCTTTCTGCTCCTGCAGTCAAGATGCATCGCTCCTCAGCTTGGTGAACGAGAGAGGTCCCGCTTTCTGGTCGGAACCTTGAGCCTCCGGGAAGAGAACGAGGTGAGGACCTTGACCCAGTAGGTCATCGCACTTGTTGTTGAAGCAGGTTTGCAGATAACAAGGACCAGCGCGTTTCAAGTCTACAAGACAGTGAGCAAAGATTGTGATCGGATTTGCAATTGTCTCCAAAAGGAGCTCTGAGCTGCGTGAGAAGTTTGAAAGAGAGGTGTTATCCTGTGCAATCATCACAGCGCCTCGCCTAATCACTGGAAAGGCTCACTGGGTGACAAACCAGTGAAAATCTCAGGCCTTGCATCTCGTTTCTTGGTGCGATCGACCCCTTTCCTTTCTCACTGGCAGATCCACCACTTGCATTATTCAGAGGGCATCAACGAGATTGTTTCAGAAGGCGTCTACCATCACCCCCATGAGATCTGGGATCTAGCGTGTTCACCATTTGACGCTCGGCTCTTTTCAACAGTGTACCGACATGGTAAGCGAGCTTCAAATCTCGAGGACACTTGGCTTTTTAATGATTGGGTCGCTGCTTTTGCGAGCAAGCTTGCTTTGTCACCAAGCGCGTTTTCCAGGTTCCCCATCATTACGGTGATAAGCCAGAGTTGGCAAGCTCGAGAAGCCTTGAATGCGGAGAAGCATGTTATCTTCGACATTGACTGGATCTATCTTTGACCTGAGTTTTAGGTTTGCTATGCATCAGGTCTGTGCACCTTATAGGAACGACAGCCACCTTTGCCGATTCCCAGAATCTTCCATAAGGTGGCCCTTGGTTTGTTAATCATCACGATTTGAAGCGCCTTAGTCGACGTCTTTTCCTGTCCACTCATGTACAGTCACCCCCAGTCTTGTCTGCTTTTCAATTTCTCCTTGTCCATCTGCCTACACCCAAAAAAGCACATTCTGAACACGGAGGTCGCTTTGCAGGCGAAGAGTACGGGGCTTCTGTGTGGCGCCTCCTCCCACGTGGAAAAATCAACCCTGGCAGCAGCTCCCCAGGACCGCAGGGGTTGCAACTAGACCAGGTGGCAGAGCTGAAGGGGCACTCGGCCCCCATCAAGAGGTACGCATGATTACCCCTCTCCGCACTTATCTGCCATTCGAGAAAGGCTATATGATTGCAGCTCTCAATTTGCAAGTTGTTCTACACTGTGGCAGCGTGTGGTTTTTGTGGTCTGCTGGCAGTTGACCGAGTCCCCCAGTGTTGCTTGCACTCGAATCCACTACCGTAAACGTGTTCGTTGCAACCCGTTTGAATCTTTTTGATATGTCTTGTTTCAGAAGAGCTGTTGGTGATATCAAAGCCTTTCCCCTCCTGCTTTCTATGCAAACAAAGGATTCTCTTAACATCTATGTGATCTGAGGTGTGCAGCGTCCTCTGGTGCCCACTCTCGACCAAGCAGAACGTGTTGGTCAGCCTAGACGAAGAAACGATCCGCGTGTACAACCTGGAAGACGGCAAGAAGACCCTTGAAGCCCGTTCGGAAGCCAAGGCGGGCGACTTGCAGCACATTGCGGGAGGCTCCTGGGACCCCCACGACAGCAACTCCGTTGCAGTGGCGAGCGGAATGCTGGTTGAGATTTGGGACCTGCGAACGATGAGGTCAGCGGAGTTACAGTTTCGCGTCATTCACGCAATATTGCGCAGGTCTGCTCGAAGTGATTAAGCTTACTTTCTCCAAGTCCGCCGTGGTGGTGCTGAAAGTCCTTCTTGTCTTTGTTCGATACCGCTGTCTGTTGGAGCTTTTCGTCGCCTCAAAATGGAGGCTGTCCTTCTACAGAAGCACATTTTGAAAAGAAAAAAAAATCCCCTCGAAACGTGTGTCAAGGGTATACTGACGTCTTCGTTTCCGAAGAAGTAGAGTCAATCTGGATTCTTGTACGGAGGGCAAAGCATTTGCGGAGGGCGTTGCAAACGCCTCTTTGCGCCTGGCTGCCACTGACAGAATCTCTTCGTGCTTTCAGGCGAGGTCAGAAGATCGATCAGGCGCACGGGATGCAAGTGCGGGACGTCGACTTCAACCCAAAGCGGCAAAACACGCTGGTGAGCCCGCAATCTTGCACATACCTTAGGATGGGTTTGGGGTTGTTGGCCGCAAACCCGGTTATACATTGCAGAGTGCTCTCACTGCGTCTCCACAGCGCCTGCTTTCGGTCCGGCACGCTTTACTGACTCTGCGTCGAGCTTCGAGGGTGCGCGTCGACCGAACCCCTACTTTGGCCTCCAGTGTCGCCTTTGCAGTACCGACGGGTAGGAGGTACGGTACTCTTCAGGCCATGTTACTCCTCTGGTATGTACCTTTGTTACCAACGTGGATGTGACAAGCCATCCGATTGGCTAAAGAATCTGGAAAGATTTTTGCAGCTTTTCTGTCGACGTTAAGCCTTATACCGCCTCTTTTTACGCCGCTTCAGTTGATAGCACTGCTTTTTCACTCGCTGAGCCTATTCACACCGGCTCCACCTCTGCCTGCGCTTGATCCTTTGCTTCTGCATTATGCCGAGCCTATTCACACCGCCTCTGTAGTTGACCGCCGGGGACGACTCGTACATCCGCTTCTGGGACACCCGGCAAATAGCGACCCCTCTGCTCGAGTTGCAAGCGCACAACCACTGGTGAGCGACAAGTTTCGTTCCGTACACGCTTATGTATTTCATTCGAAGATGCACAAGCCTTTCTCGCAGGCACGTACAAGCCTGAAGCGGGTGTCAGCATGAGGTCATACGAGCAATTTCAACGCTGTTTTAAGCTGTATCGCTGTGTCTCATGCCGAGGAGCAGTTCCAACTCCCAAGATGGGCGGTTGAAACATACAGAGACTAACAGCAAAGGAGCAACTTGCTATGCTGACCAAACGGTCGAAGTGGTCGAAGTGGAAAACGTGTCAGCTAAGCTTTCTTGTCGTGTCTCCACGCAGGATTTGGCGAGCAAAGTTCAACCGCGTGTATGACGAACTTGTGTTGGTGAGTTTCTCGCGGGAATCTTTACCTCCTGATCAAGGATCAGACAGCTGTCCTCGCGGAGGAAGGCGCGAAAATACTTTTGGCTGCTTAACCGGAGAGATCTGATAAGCGAGCCCGGTCACGAATGAGATTCTTTTGCGATTTTGTTTCAAGCTGAATGTTTTTTGGACAGACTCCCGAATAAAAAGTAATGAGGCTGAGTCCGACCCTGCAAGTTGCCAGGCACTTAAGATGAGTTGACTGAGGTGGGCCCCTCAGCTGATTCCGTTTCGGCCACCCGTCGCAGAGCGGCGGAACGGACTCCGCCTGCAATCTGTGGCACGTTCCCAGCGTATCGTCGTCGAAAGCGGGACGGAGTGGCAGCAAGGGTTCCGCAAACGAGTGAGGTTGCCCCTCGGTGCACTGAGCCTGCACAAGACGAGCCACGGCCTTCCAGAGGTTTCACACAAAACGTGATGTCCCCTCTTCGATCAATCCTCTTCAGTCGAGCTGCTTTCCTTCGGTGTCAACGAATTGAGGAAGCTAGTAATTCTTGGTTATATTGCGTACAGGCGTTCTGACGCCCTGCCAATTGTGCAGTTTGTCTGGAGCACGGACCCCCCGGGAACCACACGACGGGCTTGCGCACACGTACACCGAGCATGAAGACAGCATCTATGGTCAGTCCCCCTTAACAGTCTCGGACGACAGTCTGGACTTTGTTTCCTTCTTTTCCTTCTTGTGAGCAGAGCCGAACCTTGCAATCATGGTTGATCAGATCTGTTTTTTGTCCGTACTTGTCTTGAAATTCAGATACAGACTGTACGTTTCGTCGTGAAGGAGAACGTATGTGAATTTTGCTCATCACCATTCTCTCCGTTGCAGGTGTTGCTTGGAGCGCGAAAGATCCCCTGCTCTTTGCATCCTTGTCGTACGATGGTCGGGTGAGCGTCTCCCTTTAAAACTTGTTCTAAGTCTCTGCTTGGTTGTGCGCCTCTATTTTACGTGCCTTCGAACCTGGTTTTTTTGACTTTGCGAGTCAGAAATACGGGGAAGTTTGGCGCATGCGCGCTGTTATCGAGCAACTGATGTAACGGTGGTGCTGTCCAGGTTATCGTCGACCGAGTCCCAGACAGCGTGCGACGAAAACTGAGTAACCCGTACTGAGTAGTTGGGTTTCGAAGATGCCTCAATTGCAAATGTGAGTCAGAAGAGTTCGCCGTAACGGTTGCTAATTCTAGTTCAAACAGCAGGCTCCACCTGACCCATAATATCCACGCCAGCTCGCAAACAATGTGTTGATGAACCATCAGCGAGCAGCTTCTTGTCAAGAGGTCAGCTTGCTGCGCAAGCGTGAATCTCATAAGTGATACTAGACTGAGTGAGATGCAGTACAGCCACAGGCTGATCTAGGCATCCCCCCCGTGAGAGGGGCCGCCGCTGGGCTGCGCCATGAACAGCGCCGCAAGCGCGGCGGTCCGAGGTTCGCAGCGCGACTCTTCGAGTTTCAAGAAGGATACGTTGCTACTGTGGCTTGCGGTTGTATAGACGCGTATTTTGCTCGCATTAATTGCGCTTGCATCTCGCACGGCCGTTGCAGCCGCCGCTCCGCCCCACAAATTTTTGGAGCACCATGTCGGACAGCGTCTTGCAAACTCCACTCGTGCACATGGTACGGTAGTAACGCACGTCCGCCTCACTTTCACGCATGTTCGTCGGATTGCTTAAGGCGCCTCGATTGATGCATGAGCATGCAAGAGTTCGCACTCATCATTGCGTGGCATATTTTAGATCGACTCGTTCCCTATATATGCAAAGCATGTCTGGCCAGAGTTGCATCAGCCTATCATATCAGTGGCAATGATGGTGCCCTACGCGTATTGTCATGTTATGCGGAGCAAAAACGATGGGCTTGCCACGCCATCTTCAGTGTCCAATGATCCAGCGTGCAATCAGCAAACCTACTTTTCAAGCTAGCTTAAGTGCTCTCTTACATCTGACCGGCTGGAAGCACGTAACTAACTGGGGTGTAGTCCGACGTTGGTCGGATTGTCGCCACTGGATGCCTTTGATACGCACGGGCTTTAAGAGAAGTATCCATGCAGATTTATCATGCTTAGACTTATAATATCGCGGGGCCGGCGCCTTGTCTGAAGTAGGTTAACCAGCTGATGTACTTGACCCACGCTACTGTTCCCCAAACAAACCGTTCCAAAAACAAACCATGTATCGTAAAAGGCACGAGCTTCCCGCTGGGGAACTCTGCAAACCTAGCAGTGAAAGTGTCTCTAGACTGCGCTTGCACAATCGCACAAGCAGGTGAGGGCATCAGCCCCTGCGTGATCGTCTCTTTGACACACAAACCTAGCAAAATGTGCCTCATGTAGACCGTGCAACCCCTAGGGTAAGAGTCTTTGACTGCGTCAACCAGCTCCTGGATAAGGAGACCATTGCGACCTCTGTCGTGGTCAGCGCCCCGCCTCCTTGCAGTCCCCGGGCATTTCCTGCGCCTTGCTTGTGCATCTAACAGCTTGTAGCATGACCGGAGGTGAGGTGATTTCATAAATGGGTCTGGATCCTCGTCCGGGTCCATTTGCACGTACGGGAGGGTGAAGAGCAGGCAACCAGGTCAGTTCAGGAGCTAACCACTTTGGCCTGGGAGGCGGCTTCCAGCTGCAAGGTGGCGGATTTGCAACAACGGAACCCTCCAGAGCATTGATTGCGTCATTGATAACGTACATCAGCTGGACAGGTTGCGTCACCCGCCACTCCTGGATCAAGCGCAGACCAACTCTAAGGACAAGCTGTCCGTGCTCCCCGCCTTGACCACCTTGACTGTCAGGACTCCTTCCAGAACTTGCTGTACAGCAGGTACTCATGCGTTCCCTCAAAGCCCCATGTATTTGTCGGCAAGAAGTCAATTGGAAGCTCTATGTTACCCTTTTTTAAACCGGCTTCGAGCTGGTCTACCGACCCTTGCATCTCCGTGCCAGAAATGGCCCCACTGTGTCGACTGTAGTCTAGGTCTGCAGTTGCTGGCTTTCTCATAAAGCAGCTCGACCCTCCTCCACGTGCCCCAACTAAGGCTCTGCCTGCCTCCGTCAGCCACGCTTGAAGCCTGACAGATGGTCGTTCCAGATGTTTCACTGTCTCTGATTCATCGAGCGCCTTCTGAGGCGCCATGGGAAAGCCTTTTCTTTGCAGAAGTGTCAAAGTGGCGCTAAGTTTCCTTGCTAGGATACCAATATTGAACGTGCCACCATGAAAGTTTTGCGTCAGATCGTCTTTGCCAAGTTCTTTTTTCTTAGCAACTTTCTGCTCAGCCACCTTGTAGCACGCGAAATGTGCCACACGTACTATGTCAGAATGGTGGCCGCTAATACGTTGGGCTCGGCTGCTCTGTCGCGGCCGCGCCTCGTATAAACCTGCGAACCCTGCCACGTGTAACTTGGAACCCTGCCGTCTCAGTGACTCTGATCGACCCGCGGGCGGCTGCGTGCTGTATGCGTGGATTAGTGCTTTCAAGAGCCAGGAAGCAGTTTAAGTTCAGCGCAATCTTTGAGAATGGAACGCCTTCCAAGCGACGTTGTTTTGTTGGTTCTGCACAAGCTAGCGGTGCAGGACCCGCTCTCTTTGGTGCATGCAACGTGCGCTTTGGCGCCCTTTTACCGGGCGGCAGCAGAAAATCCTGATGTCTGGAGGGACGCTTTCTACGGCTCCGCAGCAGAGGAGGCCCTAGCAGAGGAAAGGACGTATACAGCGTTAGATGCAGAAGTCAAGTTGCTGGGTGGTTACAGGAGATTCACAGTGGCTCGTCTTTCTTCAGCATCAACCAGGCGTTGCAGAAATGAACAAAGCAAGCAGGATGAGCACAAAGTCGGCGCTTCAGAAGACGCAAAGTACAGCATTCAGTCAAGATCGTTCTCTGGCAAGATCTTGTTCCTAGTTCGAGTGCATAAGAGATTGTATTTGTGGGGTCTCTCTGACAGGCAACACAGACTGACGTGCCTGGAAAGTTCCGATCGTTCTTATCACGGATGGATATGCCTCCGACTTCAGCCGCTGTATCCAATTGATGCTCTGAAGGAAGCTTTGAGGCAATTGGGGAAAGAATCTGTCGAGGGCGTCGGCTGGCGCTCTAAATCGCTTACCGTGGAGCTTTATAAAACGGACTGGCGCCAAGGGCCTTTGAAATCAGTGCAGTCGTGCGTCATTGTCAACATGACGTACACAGCTCTTCCCTGGTTTATCGAGTTGAGTCACGTCCGTCGTGATGTTTGTCCGGAAAATTGCAGCGTCTACATTCCTGATTGGGCTTCTGGGGGATGTGCGGGCAATCCAGAGTTCTGGTGGAAAGTAGATCAAGACTGACGGAGCTGAAAGGAGAGACACGTGCGCATTTTGAAAGGATTTTAAAGGTCGGATAGCCGGAAGGGCTTTTTTTTAGATTCTTTTTGGGCCGACGCTATTCACGGAGCGGTATCTGTAGACCAAAGCTCAACCTCAGGCACCTTCCGTTGGTCTTCTGAACTTCGCCGGGTTTCTGAAACGCAGGCCGATCTAGCGGCACATATTGGCGTAGATGATTCAACATCCTTCAAAATGGTACAAGTATCTTTTCTGCTTCACTACATTGCTTCTGGTGGCCGTTCCAGAGCACTGCTCTGCACAATCTTTGCGAGTGCTACAGAAATGGTGTCTGGATGCGGGCCAGTTTTCGCTTGCAGATTCATTAGTAATCATGGTGTAAACGTCTCGTCTTGACTAATTGATCGATGCATGTGCACCTAAGAAGTGCCTTAGTATCTGAGCAAGTGTAGACACGTTAGTACGTCTCCCTGACGATTGACATCTAGCCTCACCCCCCTTGTCGGAAGCCTTTGCGGCTTGAAAGGTTGGCCGAAAATTGTTTACGGATCCGTCTATATATTACATTCCACTCTGGTGCGGAAGATTGATACCCGCGTACATACATGTAGCTAGCCATTGAGTTAGGACTGCTCATCGATCTCCAAAAGCAAAAAAGCATGCACATGCTCAAAGATTGCCAACTACATCCAATCATTCAGTGGCTTGCAGTATTTCAGGCCTGAGCAACCTTGATTTGCCGCGTCCGTTGAAGATTTTCCAACTTAGCAAGCTAATAATTGAGCGTATATAAGCATTGCCATGCATTTTTACAACTGAGGTGACACGAGTCGCAAACTGTCTTTACCGGACGATCAGGCCCAAAATGAACATTTACGCTGATCATTCGAAACGCTCTAGCACCGCCAGGCCTGAGGCCGCGCCTTCTGGCCACCACTTTGCATACATGATTATACTGCAGCACTGTCTCGTATATTCACAACCGCGCAGCCACGCCCTGCACGCTAGGGCTCCCGTTGTTGTGAATATGTGAGGCCGGCCGATGCACCAATGATCCATGATATCAGCTGCACATGCAAGTGCTTAGCCAATCGCTTAACCACTACATGCAGCAACCGTCCTCGAAAAGTGGTGTACAACTCTCGACCGTCTCTGTATGGAGTGCAAAATCATTGCATAGGGCGAGGTGTCTGCGGGCCGGACTATCCTACGGCTTGCCAAGTTGCACCGCCATGAACTTAGCCAGGCTTGATCGTTGACTCGTTCTCAATTCGAAGCTTGGCCACATACGCGCGCAATGCGTACCAAATCATTTCGAACTCTGCAATGAGCGTGGTTTCCAGAAGAGGAAGTTGCTACTAAACAGACCTTTTTCAATCGACGCGCATCAGAGAGACACTGAGCTATTCGTGTTCACCTGTCTTAGTCCGTGTCCTCAAACCAGTTTGCCAATAGCAGAGTCAACACCGTCAAAGCGTGCTTATCACGTGAACGGAAACGGCGGCCCCTGTGCTTTCTTCGCAATAACCACCGCCTTATACTTGGCGCCCATTCCGGGCGGTGTCCCCGCCTTTTCGTCGCCCGGTTGGTCGCCGACCAGGCGCAGGTACGCCTGCTCTAGAGCCTCGGCTTCTTCCTCGGTAGCAGTCTCCAAAAGCTTCTCGACGCGCGTGTTGATACCCAGCTGGGCCAGAAGCTGCGTCTGCGTGATGGGCCCGTAGGATTGCACGTCCGCTGAGGAGGAAGACGAGAAGGTGGATGGTTTAGCCTCGTAACAAGGGTCCGCGTTGAGTTGCAGACGGGGAATAAGCGATGGCGACAATAGTCGTGATGAATCGACGAAGTACTGAGCTCGGTGGGTTGAAGGCCGATGACATGTCTAACGTTGGTTGTAAGCTTGGGGTTCACAGACGCAATTTCCGTTGGGGGGAACAGGTTTTCAGAGACGGGTTAGATCTTTTGGCCCTAACTTCTCGCAAAGTCAGCGCTTTGCAGCCCCTCCGCACGAGAGGCGAGAGGCGGACTGCGTAATCAAACACATCCACTGAAGATACGTAGAAAACAGAAACCTCCTTTAGGAAGACTTCTGGCGGCAAAGACGACTCTCTGTCCTGGTTCAAAGCGAATCGACGGCGGCAAAATGCAACAAGAGGAGCGTTATAGCTCTACAAAAGGAGACAAGAGCAGTTGGGGCACCGGAGCGCTTTGCTGTTATGTACTCAGGAACTGCCCTCGATTGGAACACCCCAGAACTGCTGCACCGTTCGATTGCCCGAACCAAGCGGTCGACTACCTTGAAGCTCACAGTGTTCAAAGGTTGCCAGGAACCACAATTAGTACTACATGCGCACGTGCGGGTCCACATCTGCACTTTCGATATGGGTTCCTTATTTAAGAAAAATGTATTCTAGATTGTCGAAATCAGCGAACACAATTAAGGACCCACGATTGCCATCCGGTTGGTATGAGAATTCCGACCCGCTTACCTCCGCTTTCTGCGGCAGCCGTCTTGACTGCCGCAAAGTCGACCCACGCGCTCAGGTCCGCAGTTCCTGGAGCGTGCAACAAGTCCACGAACTTATGCTCCTTGATCGCCTGCGACAGATTTTAAAGATGCGCTCTTAGGTTCACAACAGATGTGTTGTAAGTTTGTAGGGCCGTTTTCGCAAATTGGAGAACAGAGTGTTGGATCATAAAAACGTGCGAGTGGCCGGTTCAAGAAAGATGTCAAGGGGCACGCCTGTCCTTTTCGCAAGGACAGACTGGTAGTTGCATCAGCAGACCGGTTATGCACAAGGGATTCAGTGACACAGGCAATCGGTGCTGGCACCACAGTCGGAGGACGACGCGACAAACGGCTGAGCAGAACCTCTCAGGCGCCTCGTAACCCAGAGCCCCAGATGCTATTCTCACGAGCGGTCGTACAAGTTGGTCACTTGCAAGGAAATTCTTTTTACAGCTGTACAATTCGTGTAAGATTGTTGTCTTCAAAGGTCTTGTTGACAGAGAGCTGCGACCTTCGAAAACCCACCTTCATTGCAGAACGTTTTTGGAGAGGGGTTTTGGAGTTTGACCTCCGCTCCATTGAATACACTGCGGTAGCCCATGGCTGAACGGCGTAATCGAACCTGTGCTCGTCACCCGCGTCTTTACGATGACGACGCAAGCCATCTGTCCCCGGCTTATTGCCTCCATACGCCGACAAGCACGTCCCATAAGCCGCCAGCTCAACACTCACCTGCAGGCTGTCTCCGGCCAGCTTATCATCCCCATAATCGATCAGCAACGCCCCGCCCCCGTCCTCCCCGATCCGTTTCGACAGCTCCTTCGCTAAGTCGACGGCCCCGGGGCAAACTTCGATGACCGGGTTATTCTTTTGCTCCACGATGGAAAGCGTTTCTAGCCGTTTCTTGAGGTAGACCTTTGCCGCAACGGTAGGGCCTTTTGAGAGCACTAGTCGTAAGTGTCTTTGACTGCACAGGAAAGCAAAATTCTCAGAAGCAATCACATATGGTGAAGTGAGAGGGCCAAGCGAAGTATGGCCGGCAGATGCTCCAAACCGTCGAGAAAGGGTCCGTCGGAGGGAAGACTATCTTGAAAAGAAGAGGCTTAAATTGAAATGAAGAGGCTAAACAAATGCGCGGTCAGAGGGGAAGAGGAGGATCTCTCGAAATGAATGAGCGGCACTCAGCAGCGATGGTGTTTTACTAGACGAAGCAAACATCAGGAAAGGGGATGTCCAGAGACAAGGGCGGTCTTAAAGAGGGGCCGTCCTTACAGACAGCCACTCGCAAACGAAAGCTGTCCAAACCACAAAAAGGACCCAGCCCAAACGTGGCTTCCGAGAGAACGAGCTAACAAACCAAAAAGGCTAACCCAGTGGACGAAAAATCAGGCTTTCGTGAAGGCCTCGTCCAAAGCGAGGGTTCGACCTCGAGATCGGAAGATGCTAGAGCAACAATGGTCCGTATCCGCGATATGCGCTTCCCGCACGAAAAAGAGGTATTGCTAACGGAAGAGGGATCAGGAACGAGCTGTCAAGCGAGCTACCAAAAGGCTTTTCAACGTTGAAAGGCGCGGCCGAAGGACAAAGACCGGCGCAACAAGCCGCCAAGCGATGCGATTCCCGAGCAAGAAATTGTCGTGCGACGAAACTCACCTCCAGTCCGGGGCAACGTCCACTAGCCGTTCGCACCAGCCCAGCTCAGTGCGCTGCGCACAAATACAAACCAGGTGGTTAAGAAAAGCTGTTAAGAGCCAGCATCAAGTGACGTCACTTCACGCCAATAGCGAGGCAGGGAGCGGACCAGATTGATCGCGCGTTCCAATGCCGACGGATTCGCAAGTTTTGGAGCTCGAATATCTTTTCCGCGCTTCAAGAATGCGCGGTAGGTTCTCAGGAAGCTCGACGAAGACAGGATGTTGAATAAAACCACCACAGTCCGGCTATCCTAATCTTGACGCCAGTCTCGGTTGCGGTATTCTGAAACCGCGTCTTTCCGATATTTCAGAAAATTCCTCACAAGATTCCTCTTCAGAACTGAAGCACTGCATTTGTTGACATGATGACATCATGTAATACCTTCGTCAGACAATGCGGATTTGCTAGCTTCAATAAGACAGTATGGGTAAAACATGCAGCTTTGTAGCTGACAGCAGACGGAGAGATTGGCGCTTGTTTTGCAAAATCAGTCCCACAAGAAAGAAGCTGCCTAGACTCAAGTTCCTCGACGAGAAGTTACCTGAAACTGGTGCACTGGGAGTGCGTCCAGGAACTCGTGCCCAATCGCAATCATTGGGCCACGTGGCACGTCCTCGAGGCTCGAGTGCCACGTCACCGGCACGCCCGAGATCCCGCTCACAGACGGCCCTGCGTCGGTGTCACGTCCGGAAGCACTGGGCCTGGGCCCTGGTTCTTGACACTGGAGCTTCTTGCTTTGGAGGTCTCGAAGGGCGGGGCTTACTTCGACGAGGTGAACTCGCAGAGCGGAGGTGAATGCACCGAATTGGGCGGTGCCCTGCGCAAGGAAGCAGCGTAGCATTTAGTGCATGTTGAGGAATCAGCGGTACATCCCGGTGCGACATACAAAGCAGCGTTACGCCCAGTGCAAGACATGGAAGCAGCGTTACGCCGAGGTCAAGCAGCGGTACGCCCAGCGAAACGCATAGAAGCAGCGTTTCGTCGAGTGTAACCGTGTGGAAGCAGCGAGACGCCCAGTGCAATGTACGGTGCTTCCATGCAGTACTTGCGGTGCAGTGCCTTTCTTGGCCTTTTCGTGTCGTTCATTTCGTCACCTCTGTAAGAGGTAAACGCCGGCGTCTCCACTCTCGATGGAAGGTTGGCCTGCCCGCGCAAGGCAACCTCTGCCAAATTACTGATGCTCACGTTTACGGCAAACCTGTCATACTTGACCGACTTCGCAAGACTCGCTTCTAACGACCCCTTGGAAAGAGCTTCTTCCCGCAGCGCAATCTTACGGGCTCCTTACAAGGTTCGTCTTGCCGAGATGAGAACTCGAAACCTTCTAAAGGTATTAGAAGTTCTGTTGTGTGTCAGTGACAAGATGCACATGAACGTAACCGGGGGGGTGGCTCACTCGCATAAGGTCGGCCATGAGCGCCCCCCTGCCCGGGCCGAGCTCCACCAAATTGACCTCCCTGGGCTGACCCATCTGCTGCCACAGGACGACCGCCCAGATCCCGAGCAACTGCAGGACAAGGGGCCAGTCAGTCATCATTGCCATGGCGCAGAATTGTATTGTAGGTTCAAGGTTCCAAGCGGTCAATACACAAAAGTTGATCTTGAAGTTTCTTGTGCATGTAGTAGGTGCCTGTTGGAAGAGCCAGCTGCATACTCGGCGGTGCATCTTAGTGCAATGAAAACAACCAGAGGAGCTTCAGACAATTTCCATCCAACGTACTGGTAACTGGGGTGTCCTGCAGAGGGGCCGAGTTGCCTGGACCACAGTCCTAAGCTTGTCTCATGAAATTTTGTTAGCAATATCTTTCAGAGAATGAACAGATGATTGGCAGCTGGCATCAAGCCGGCTTCGAGATGGACAGAGATAAGTTATTGAACTGTCGAACATGGGACCCACCTCCCCAAACATCTGGCTGATGTCTGGTGATGTCACGAAGTCGCCCTTGGTGCCAAAAACGTCTCGATTCATGTAGAAGCCGTCGCTTGGGTTGGTGAGAACCTCCTTCATGTACTCTGCGAGCGTGATTGGCCCCCCTCGGAACTGCCAAAAAACGAATTGCGGTCACAAGAACGGCGTTACAGGTTGATGCGAACAAGACGTTGAAAGCGGGACTTGTTTCGGTTCTTCTGTGTTCTTACAGATGCTCTTTGTCTTATACAACTCCTCTGGGTGGGAGGCAGATTAATTGGTTGTGCTCAGAAGAGTGGTGCTCGGTATAGTCCTCTTTCACCACATCTTCCAACAGACATGTTGCTGAGTGTGGGTCCTGACTCATCGACAGCATCAACTCCAAAACATCACAAAAACAGGGGAGGTTTGAAATCAGCAAAACAGTGGGTGGAAAACGGTCAGATCTTTTAAAGATGTTTAAAAGAGTCAACGTCTGTATTGAAGTCGCCACCGTTCTTGGCTGCTTCAAAGGGCACAAAGTCAAGGTTCCGGCTAATAGCGGCCGACATGAAGAAACCATAGAACAGGGCTTTATGCAGTAAAGGGAGTCACCTCCAGAAGCTTGAAGCCCCCTACAAATGCGGCATCCTCCTGCTAAGGCCAATCAACTGCCCCCCAGTAATCATTGTTCATTCCTTCACAAGCCCTAAGCACAGAAGTGGAGCAGCTGATCGAGAGTCAGTTCCGTTCAGAAAGGTGTTTGATTGTCTGCTGCTGAAAGGCGCCAACAACGCCGGCCATCCTGGAAAGAGTGAGTCTCTTACCTTAATCAGCGTCTTCAGGTGCTTCGCCAGCGGGGTCTCCTCCTCTTTCCCCGGGACTTGCCCATGCAGATGCTCTACACAAAAAGCTCGCTCGCATCAATAATCTTTTGAGGAAAAGCATGAAAGTCCAGTACAGAATTCTCCAAGGTGCATATAGAACCAGGCGTCAAATTTGGATCAATCCCTATTTAGCACGAGGAACGAGCTTGTTTGCTAAGAGCACCATTCGGTCTGTTTGAAACCACTCGATGAGGGGTGGTGCAGCTCGAGCAATGAGCAGAGTGCTTCAGAGTCCGTCGCTGACCCATACCTACAAAGATTCACATTACCGGGGACTGAGTAAAAAGCGTACACCAAACACGTTTGCTTAGCTCACCCAGCTCTTTCTGAAGCCCTGTTCGATCGACTGTGATCACATTCTCAGGGCTGTCGCTCAGCGCTCGACCGCTGGGCCCAGCCTCGCCCCCCACATGCGCCTGATGGCTTAACCTCTCTTCTTCTGACGTTGCCGCTACCCCACCCCTAGAATTACCCAAACCCGCATTGTCAACCACCACTTTCTCATCAGAGTCAGCATTGCCCTTTCTCTCATGCTCTGCGGTGGCGCCCTTTTCCACTTTATCAAAGGGCTGGGAGCTGTAGCACCTTGCTCCTACCAGATATGAGCATTGACTTTCTGATTGTGTGGACAGAAGGTAAGGTACTAAAGCACCAGAAGCTGCACACCTGCTCGCTGCCCAAGAGAGGCTTGCACGATCAATGCTGTCACTGTAAAATCCCTGTTGGGGTTCTGATCTGAGACAGGAAAGGCTCCTGTATGTATGCAAGCTGGCAACGGGCAATGCTGCTTGGCAGGCGAGCGTCAAAAGACGGCGGTGGCCAAGTCTGAGCGCCATTTTGTGCAGCATTTTCAACCATGTTACAGTTTCAGAATTCTCTGGCGGTTTTCCTTTAAGTTTTGGGGCTTCAACCCAGGCTAACCGACGTCACAAACCCACTTACGCCTGACGTCATCGTCGTCGAAGTGCACAAATGCAGGGGGCTTACATCAGCAAGCAACAACAACAAATTGCAGGCTGCCACTTGTCATCGCAAGGCAAACGCCGATGACGTCGGACCGTTGTCAGGATTGTCAGAGGCGAGAGCTCGGAAGCTGCGCGCAGCGCGCAGGCTCCCTGCCACCTGGCTCAGCACAAATTTCCGATCACATGCATGATGCAATGATGCACATTGCACAAGTACATGCTGACATCAATGCAGTGTAGGGCGCTGCTCCTGAGTCCTGCGCATGCGCTCCTGTTGCGGTCTGATCAAAGCAACAAGTGCACCACCTTTCAACTGTTATTGCAATGAGCTTGCAGCTTCCTTCCTTCCCGCAACGTCATCTAGCTTGCAGCCGGTTATGGAGGTGCCTGAGGTCACCTTACAACTCAATGCGGTTGGATTGGAGCGGCTATTCATGTTTACTCCGCGTTTGATAGTTAGTGAGGGTGCCACCCCACAATAGCTGCACAACTGGTCATACAAAAGTCGTGAGAAGGCTTGTGTTTCCGCCAAACCGCCATTTGATGTTTCATCAGTAGCTGTACGTACCTGCTCTATGTGCTGAGTCTCTGAGGAGCTTTCTGAGCTGGTCATTCACTCAAATCCAAGTCGTTGCAAGGCATTCGTCTCTCTAATGTGATATCCGTGATTAACCAATTGGGCCCAGTGCTCGAAACGCCGGCGAGCGAGCTGCTAGCTAGGCTGCCTGACGTTCTCATCCTCACCCATCCGCTTGAAGAGGATTCCCTTTTCAGCAACATTCTGAATATTACAGCTTTCTCAGTGAGTGGAAGCCACTGTAGACCAGACCAAGTCTGCCAGCAGCCCCTAGCAGCCACTGCTCAAGTTTGTGAGATGGACACAGCCCCCGCCTTGCAGCCGGCCGCCGTCTTCCAGACCATCGGAAGGCGGGAGGTCAAGATCACAGGGGAGGACGGCACAAGCTTCGTTTTGAACAAGTCCTCATACCGGAGTCGGAAGTGCGAGCTGGTGTGCAGCTCTAAGCAAGATGGTGACGCCATGCTCCTGATCGAGAGGTCAGGCCATTGCGGGAAAAAGGCGGCCATCAGCGACGCAAAGGGACAGCAGCTGGTGGAACTAGAGCGGGTCAGTTACTGGGGCTGGAAGTTTATCCGCAGATTCACGTGGGAGGGACGCGAGTATCAGTGGGAGCACAGCTCCTGCTCCTGGCGGGGCGTCAGCACGTGAGTTCTCCCTGCGCTTCTACTTTCCATTTCGCGTTTGATGTTTCCTCCCTGCTCCCCTTCATACATGACTCTGAGTATCTATCCATCTCAGATTCCAAATCAATCTGGCACTCAGTGTAGTGTACTATTGGACTTTAAGCAGTATTTTGAAGTGTTTGACTGGTTGTTCCCTTTTATGAACCTACTTTGAATCCACCCTTGACTGTTTGCCAATCAAAGCAACACTTCCGTCATCAGAGCGAAGCTGCCCAAGGGTCTTGGCGTCCTGATAACTTAAGGCCCCTCATTAGTCTGTCAGTGCAAAACAGACTTCAAATGATGTTTTTTGCGTCACCCGAGTCTTTACATTGCCTTTTCAGGGACTCATAAGGTCAGTCAGTGAGGGCCTAATCGATTCAAAGTGGTTGTAATCAGGTGCACTTCTACTTCTATAATATGAGCTCTCACTCCTTCCATGTGCGTCAGGTTCACATTGGTGGAGACGAACACCAAGGAGGCCCTCGCAAGGCGCGACTTGAAAGAATGGTCGTGGGAGCGCAAGGGGTCCATCACCATTTTCGAGACTGGGGATCACATCCCAAGGGCCTTGATTATTGCAACGGCACTCAGCACGGAGATGCTCTATCGGGCTTACAATGGTTCCGTATTGGGAGACGTCTAATTTCCCTTGCACAGTGCATGGGCATGGGCTTGTTAAGTTGCCGAAGCTCAACAAGCCGTGGCGGCCGATCATGTAACATAGTGTAAATCAGAGTGTGGATTATGTAGACGAGAGATTGTTAAGGATTGTACTCATTGCCTACTTAGGCCTGCGCGGCTTTCAATGGTGCCGCATCGGCCACCGAGGGTTAGGACTTCTGTGCGCGCACTGGGCGGGGATGACGGCGAAGCGAGTCAACAAAACGTCCCCATTTTGCATCTTCAAGCTAAGCTGATTGTGTTTTTCCTCGAAGAGATTTTGTCAGTGACTGGTAATTTAATATACTGTCGTATGCATGCTGCGTGCTACGCTGTTTGTAGGTCCGTTTGATAGCAGAACTCCTTTAATTTTGAGTTAAGCTTAGTTTTGTCAGGTCCAGATGTGTGGGCGTGCAATCAGCTTAAGGAACGCACGTCACGGACTGACGGTTGCAGCGGCTCTTAGATTTAAGATCGCGGTTCTGGAGGGCAACTAATTTTAGAAGTCCTTAGCTCAAGTCAAGTCACCAGCGCATACTTATGAACAAGTTAGCGACGTCGGCGTGCTTGATAGATTCAAGCTCTTAGTCTAAGCAGCATTGAATGCCATGGCAGTGATCGACTCAAGTGATGTGAGATCCATGCCATGCTATATGAAGCGATATTTGAACTGCATGGCATTGAATCATGCTGTGTGCGCGCGGCTCCTTGTTGGTACTGTACGCAACATGAAAAGGTGACTCGGGTATACAATTGGTATACCAATCGTACGTTGATGTGTCATAGCACAACGATAATTTGAGGTTGCATGTATAGTGACAACTGTCGATCCCTCGCAATCACCGGTCAAACGTCGTATTCAATCAAAGCCAAAAATGTACGTACGCGCGCGCTACAGTCGAATTTGATGAGCACCGCATTCACCAGAGTTACTAGACACATGCTATGCATGCCACATATATTCGCACATCCATCATAATATACATACATAGATTCATTTTTCAAGACGCAGTACACATCGAATTAACAAGCTCAGTAAGTTGAATATTGAGTTTCGACGGTAATCCATAATACCGAGTACAAGTGCTCCTAGGCTAGCAATCTAGTACACTTGTAACTGGTTAGATTGCTTGCGGAACAATGTTCTTTACCTGCAGATCCAACTTGGTAAACATCATAAGCAGCGACTCAACTTTGTAAGGATTGATAAGCTACCAAATGTTTGCTCGCATCTTAAAACCCCAGCCGTCATCATACTCACTATCGTACAATACATACTTTTTTGATGTTAGTATTACCTTCAAACCTTGTTGTCACATCTGATCCATTAAGGCTTTGGCAAGTTTGTAAGGCTCTTGAGGACTTGACGCACGAACCCCTATAAAAGGGGTCTACAATACCTGACAAAGGAACTTTTGACGACGCTTGTTCACGATCGCTTCTAGTATCAAACAACTGATATCAACTCGTTGGATGCAGCTTGGCCCTGGTGCCTACCACGATTGCTTGTGCGTCCAACACCCTTCTGAGCTCCTCAATTCGGACAGGCTTACTGCAGATCAACAAGACGGGACGACTTAGAGTTAAGAATAAGTTTGTATATACGTGAGGAGCAACGAGTCACCCTGCGTTTGAACCCTGGGTTGCCGTGTCTCTGACCAATGCGTGTCCACAACAATCATGTTTGCAAAGCAACTACCTGGGCAATGGGGTTGCGTCTTGATGAAAGCTCACGTAATGAATGCGCACAAACTCTCAGTGGGCCATCGCGCAAGCTCTTTAGGCCTTCTAAACCTCACCTTATGTATTCGACCATCCCCGCAGCGAGGCATCGATCTCGATCCCCTTGCATTGCATTCGCTGTCATTGCGACCAGGAATGGCCGTTCTTCTCGAGACCACCTCTCGCAGATAGTCCGGGATGCTTGTAACCCGTCCAACACAGGCATCTACAAGGAGATGCACGCGTGTAAAAACCGGGCCCCTTTGCGATTGCATCGTTCCTCATTTCTCTCAAACCGTTTCAAAATATTAAGTGTGAACAGTACTAGCGAAAGGCCGCCGCTAAAAGGATTCGAAACGTTCAATCTTCCAAACGGTTGCCAATACGCCAACTCAGTGAGCGTTTGTGGCGTCGAGTGCCATTAGGTGTTGGGTCCGCCTTCCATTCGAGGTAAGTTGGACCCCTAGTATGCAAGCATGCAAGGCAGCTCTTGATGAAGGAACAAAAAAAGGCAGAAGATAGAATTGGGTTACCCGAAAACCCGAAAACCCTGAAACCCCTAAAACCACCACGACTACGGTCGCACGTACCTGTACATCCATAAGAACGACGTGGTATGACTGCCGCTCCAGTGCTCTTATGCACTCTAGCCCGTCCGCAACACAGTCTGCTGTGTACCCAAGCCGCCTCAATAAAAGTATTGCTACCCGCTGGTTCACGACGTTGTCCTGCAAGGATGAGTGAGGTGGGCACTTGGATGCATCACAGGCGAGGTGGGCACTTCGTTGCATCACAGACAGATGACATATCAAGAACGTTCTGGAAGCAGCACACGCGTCAAGCTTGGAACGACGAAGTCCGTGAGAACAAAAGTCTTGCAGGATTCAGAGCATGCGCACGATACACAGTCTCATGGAAGCACCATAAGGATGAAATTTTTGGGGGTAGGGTTTGAAAGTGCATCGTGGGACACCTAAGTCGGCTCCCATTGCACGTGCAGCTTACCTCGGCAATCAAGATCTTGAGCATACTTCGCAGCTTTGGGTCCAACTCCAAGCTTTGTGGTAAGGCCCCATTGATAGACGAGATGCCGACCGCTTTCGAAGAGGTGTTCCCAGTGCTGTCGTTCGCCACGAGCTTGATCACGGTGTCTAGAAGAGGGGTCAGCTTCACAGGCTTCCCAATCGTGATGTGGTGGGCCTTCGTATCCTGCAAGCGGCATAAGTTTTGGTCTTAAGTCAATGATGGATAAGGACGACCAGCAGATTCTCCCCATGAGAAATAAAGCCACACATTGGATCGATGTGACAAATTTTCACAAGTTTCTGCTGACAAGACTCCAGCTTCCAACATTTTCGGGCACGAAACGCCTCCTTCTGCTTATCTATGACCCGATTCTGCAATTTCCTGCACAAGAGATACTGGACTTGCGGCCTCGGAAGTGCTGCAGACAGTACAAGAGAATTCGGTAGATGTGCCGTTTCATTTGACAAGTGTGGCTCACCTGATTTTTCGCTTCGAGCTCCATCCACGAGTTGAGTACGATCAATGGTAGACTGGGAGCCTCTAACACAAGAGTGCTATCAGCGATGGTTGCGCAGTCAAGCGCGCTGAAGTCGGCAACTCCAAAGTCAAAAACGACGGTCTTCTGCAACACAAAAGAAGCCGGTCTTGGGGAGTGGTTTGAAGCAAAAGCAAGGTTTAAAGCGTTGCAATTAGTTTCAGCAGAATTGAGGAGAAACATTTTCGACAATTGACACATGTGTGATTGTCAAACAAGTCGACAGCTCTCAAAACCGAGTCCGACTGATTCCATCGCCGGAAACATCCTCTTTTATCCTCGCACGTTTTCCCTTATACTCCCTCGCCGATCCTGCTAGTCCGGCATAAAAGAGAGGGAACCTTAGCAGAACGATGTAAGATACCTTCTTGAGAAGGTTGACCGCCTCGTCCACATCAGCCACCGAAGTGCACCGTACTCCCCATGCCGTCAACTGCTTCTCCAAGATACTCCGCAGGCTATGGTTCCGTGCAACTATCAAGCACGTCTTATTCTGCACGACCCTTCTGTCCGGCGCGTTCGGCTCGTCCGTAGGCATGCCCTGAGTTGTTTCCAATCGTACAGCAAAGCTGAAGGTGGCACCGACCCCAGGGACACTATGAACCACGAAATGTCCACCCATTGCCTGCAGGGCGAAAGTGTCTCTATCAGCGCTCATTCAAGGCAGATCTGAACCTGACAAGGTCGAATCTTCCCGAACGATGCCGCCTTACAGGGCACCACGACAGACACCCAGAAAGCCTAAGCGATCGCCAAATCTTGACGTACCATTGCAGTTTTGACGCACGTGCATGTACCGGAGGTAGCGAACCAGCTCAAGGGCCACATCGTTTTCGACGATGATGCCGCCTTCGTAGCACCACGGTCCCAACAGCCGAGGAGCCTGAGCAAGTGCCCAGAGTCGTGACTCGTGATCTGATACAAGTGTACTGGAAACGAGCCACTTTACAGGATAATCCGCAAAAGTGACGCTCACCTTGACGAGCTTGTCAGAGATAGCGAGTCCGAGACCCGTGCCCCCAAACTTGCGGGTGGTTGAGGCGTCGGCTTGAGAGAAGGCCGTGAAGAGGCGAGGAAGGTGATTGTCCTCGATTCCGATGCCAGTATCTGCGGAAGGAGAGGGACATCGGAAACAGTTTGAATCCGAGAGGGCCACAAAAGAACACATTGCAAGGAGGATCGAGAAGACTCTTTGCAACTGCAAACCTGCATTAGACCGAATATGGGACTAATCGAAATCAACAACCTTTTGCTCTTGCTGATTGCTCAACATTCTAGACGGCCCTGCCATTCTCCTAAACCATCTACAACTAGATCGGTTCACCATTTTTGACACAAGCAAAGGCGAACAATTGGAGGGGTGATCATACGCATGCTCACCTTTACAGGAAATCTGGACCGTGACTGCTTTTTTGTCCGACTGAATGCATTTGGCTTGAAGGATAACTTCCCCCGTCTCCGTAAACTTGACAGCATTGCTTAACAAGTTTACCTGTGGCAAGAACATTCGATCAAATGGAAGTCCTATCAGACAAAATTCAGCAGAAAGGAAGTGCAATCCAATAGTAGCCCAAGCGCCTTCATGACGCCATGCGCGGCGTTCTTGCTACCTACCTTCCTAGAAGAAATGCAAGTAGCCTTGTGACCAATTTTGATTCAGATTTCCTAGCAACATGCCTGCTGTCCAAGGAATTCCAGATTGCTGAACGGGCCGGGTATTCATATAGTCCAAGTTCCGGCGACCTCACCAACACTTGCCGCAACCTTGAAATGTCGCCCATCACGACATCCGGGATGGAAGCTTCCGTGTATGTCGCCAGCTCCAGCTGCTTGCTAGCCGCTTTGGCTGCAACTAGATCGGCAGCTTCCTCGAGGCACTGCCTCAAGCTGAACGGAGCCGCCTCAAGCTCTAAAGTGCGCGCTTCAATCTTGCTGAAGTCCAAGATGTCGCTAATCTGCGAAAAGAGATACAACATCAGGAAGCTTCTTAGACCGTACATTTGTTTAGACAATTCAGAACCCAAGCCTATTACTTCAAACTCAGACCCGCAAAGGGTTTTAGGTGCCAGATTCTAGTCCTTTAAGCACTCAAACGAAGTAAGCCTTCGAGGAAAGTTTACTTCACAAGTCCAACCAGATTTGCCCCCGGGCTTATCCAGCGCACCATTATCCAGCGCACCATTCAGCTAAGCCTTGCACAGATAACGACACACTTCAAAGGCGGACAAACCCTGAAACGGCATGCAACAGACTGTCCTCTCGCAGAAAAGGCTACCCGTTGAAGCGGGGGATTTTCAGTGCTCGTCAGACGTAGCACATAAATTTGGAGCACTCGTGATGTAAGTCCTTTCCAAGCGGCTTACCAAGGTCAAGAGCTGGTCGCTCGACTGGCGGATAGTCTCGACGCACTCCTGATGCTCCTGGGGAAGCTCCGTACCGAGGAGGAATGACGTCATGCCAATGATGGCGTTTAAGGGCGTGCGGATCTCATGTGACATGGTGGCTGCACCAGGATGTGTTCGGATGTAAGGTTCATGACGTGTGATTAAACGAACTTCATGCAGCCAAAACACAAAATCGGAGGTTTGTCGAAGCTGCCACGCTGAACATAGTGCTGCTGATGACAAGATTCTAAGACTGTGGGGCTCTTGAGGCAAAGCAAAAAAATGGCCCGCATCAAGCTCGTGGTGGATTCTAGGTCTACACGTTGAACATATAGGTGAACCATTACTTCAACATGGTCCGCTTTCTACGACAAGCCATAAGCAACAGAGTTACGTACCTAGGAAAAGACTCTTGGCTCGTGTCGCCTCTTCCGCCAGGTTCTTGGCAATGATGAGCTCGTCCTCTCGGGTCCGCATCTGCAAGTCACAGCAAAACAAGACACGCGTCTGAACATAGAAGGAACAGACCGTAGGACGCCACACGGAGCACTATTAGCAAAGTCATTGCAGCAACACCACCGAAAAGCACTTGCATGCCGGCCCTGGAAAAAGAAGCTCACGGAATGAGCTCTTCACAAGATGTCCCTTCTTGGAAGGACTTGTCCACTTTCACATCCGAAGCTGAGGGGGTGGCTAGAAGATCCAAGAGAATCGGGTTTACCGTCGTCAAATCCAGTTCTTTGAAGACTTTTCAGATCATCCTGAAGCGCTATTCTGAGTTTAAGGAATTGGGTCCCTACCTCAGCATACATGGCGCTGTTTTCGATGCTGATGGCGATCTGGGCGCTAAGCAGGGACAACGTCTGGATGCGGTTGGACGGGAAAGCGTCCGCAAGGAGCTCGTGCTCCACATAAAGTACGCCCGCCACTTCTGCATGCAGAAACGCCACGATGATGGCTTTCGTTCAAGAGTGCGTCGAACCGACGTGGTTCTGCAGCGACCAACTAAGTCGAAAGTTGCTTGACGGTCGCTCCTTGCTTGTTGTTGCTGACAAGTTCTTGGCATTTTCGAAGCACGTTTGCGCATGAAAGCTTGCTTGTGAGAAGTCAAGCGGACGCGACCTCTAACGCCATCGGTAAGGATTCAAAGGCTGCCTGGTGAGATTGAGCAACTAGCAAGCCAACGGAACAACACACGAGCCGTCAACACCAAAACAAGGGCGTGCATGACTAGGTGGGAAAGCGTTCGATCACAATTGACCTTGGCAGGAAGAACTCCGAAGCCTCATTCACTCGAGAAGAAGATGGATGGAAATCCTAAGGGGAAAGTCAGCTGGCGCATTTCATCAACTCCGGCTGTTGAAACGTTCCTCCTTGATTGTGAGTGGGGCCTGCGCGGCCGAAGCCCCGAGGTCCCCGCCTCTATTAGCTGTGACCTATGAAATGAAAGGATCAGAAGGCACGGAACACGTCAGAAGACCCTCCCGCCGTTAAACGAGTCCCCTTTTCCATCTCACCTCCGTGACGTACAATGGGCATGCAGAGCACCGACTGCGGCTTGCGCCTCTCCAGGTAGCTGTCCTTCACGGTCACGCTCTTGGACGCCCCGTTGAGCATCACCACCTCCTGCGTGCGCGAGACGTACAACACGAGCGCCCGCGGCACGAGTGCGTCCGCAGCGCTCAAGGGCACTGGCGCCAATTTGGTGAGGACCTCGGGCGCGCCAGACCGCGAGTAGAGTCCAGTGGCAGCACGCTTATCGTCCGAAGGTTCCTCGTACCGCCCCACGACGCTGGCACTCCCCTCGAGGAACCACCCGCCCCCGCTGGGGCGTTGAAGCACGAGCACCACATAGCGAGCCCCTGCAACCTCCATCACGATGTCTAGTAGTTTCTCCACCAAAGCCCCGCGAACGATCTCGCTGCTCAGGGTCTGGGAGGCCGCCAGAACGGCCCGCATGTCTGCGCTGTCGCGCGAGAGGGAGCTCGCCTTGACCAGCTCGTTCGTGGTCACGGTGTCGGTTGCGTCGGTGGTTTGGGAAGTACTTTGGTCGGGGCTTTCGGACCGCTGCCGTCGCCCGGGCTTTTGGTTGGAGGCAACCGCTGGCAGGCGTTGGACTGCAGCTGGAGCGCCCCACGCGGCGTAAGCATCCTGTGCCTCGGAGAGATGCCATGCCGCGGCGAGCGGCCGCTTTATGGCGCTGCAGTGACGGGATGCTAGAGCGCGGGCTAAACCAACGTCCTGCAACAAGAACCGCGGCTTTCTAGCTTAAATGCGCCCAGTTCAAAGGGCTTATATGAGGAGTACTATGTTTCCGTTTTGTTTACATATTGTTCTGTCCTTGAAAGACAGATACACGAATTGACGCCAGATCAAGCTCGAAGAGACTCGTCTAAACGTACACCAGACCACTGATTGCACTTGCCTAACTTCGTTGGAATCTGCTCATACCTTCGGCTTCAATAGCCAGCTTGGTTCCAGGAATCAGTCTCAAAGAGCTGCTGCAACATCGACTCTCAAGCGCTTACGGGAACGCGAGCTGCAAACGTAAATCGTATGAAGCTAGTCAGTGACTCGGCACCATCCGTAAAAAACACAACGACCCGGTTTCGAAACCTGCAGAAAGTTTGCTTCTTCCGCAGCCGCAATTGCCTTCTCGTATGCCGCCCCGGCGGCCTCGTCATTGCGCATCCAGCGCTGTTGCTCGGCGAAGGTGAGCCAGTAGCGGTGCTCGTGCAAAGCAGGGTTCACCTCTGCGTACTCTTTCAGGGCGTCCACACCGCTGCATCATAGGCAAACCAATTTGAGAAAAGGAGCCGGCGGGCATTCAAATCTGAGGTCTACGGTCGTTTGTGGATGTGCGCCGTCTGAGAAAGGCCTCTGCTTCCCAGTGCCTTCGGCCGTCGACTGGTATTTCCTCGAGACATATTTCGAAGTTTCGTCAGAAAGGTTTTGAGTACATGCAGCGTAGCTGAAGCATTCCAGGCAAACCATGCGGCAAGAAAGATTGGCGCAATTATCTGCAAAGGTGAGGTGAAGTAAACTCACTGCACTGAAACAATCCAGTTGGTGATCGAAACGAATCAAAAACTTTGGAGCCTAACTGAGCAGACCTTTCAGCCGCACCACGCTCCTGACAACACCCCTTGCCGCTCTAAAAGAGAGGCTTTTGAAAGAATGAATGGGAGATCCTGTAGCCTGGCGATCAAGCGGCCCGGATGCCATATAAACGGTCGCCCACTGCTGATTGGGCAAGTTAGAAAGCATATTGCGGTGGGCTAGGGTCACCGCAAACGTGATTTTACGACCACCTCAAATATGCTTACCTTTGCAGTCGGCGCTCCCAGTGGGCGACCTTTGCGCTGCGGTCTTGGGGAGGGTGGTCGCCGGAATGGGCGTGCAGGAGCTGGGCACACGCGACAGCCTCGTAAAAGACAAGCAGAACCGAGAATACCACCGGCTGTAGTACCTCGCGAATGGGATCCACTGCCTCCACCACAGCGAGGGCGTTCCTGGAACGGGCAGTGGAGCGACGTCAGAGCAGGGCGGAAGGCGAGATGGACCACAGTTGATCGACACCGGGTCGCAAAGCTTCATCTAATGCACACACACGCTTGCGCAGCTCGCTCGAAAAGAACTCGAAACTGTTTCAAGAAGGAGTCTCGAACAACATGCCGGGAACATCGAAAAGCGAAAGCTGGGCTTTGATGATACTTCAGCCCGTTGGGAATGCAAGAAACGCAATCTGTAGAGGCGGATCTAACATGCAATCAGAAAGCCTTGCGGCAACACTCCAATGATTTCAGGAACAAAACGTAGAACCTATAGCGACAGACCCTTATCCGGTACTACAATCCATCCCGGTGTTGAAACGAGCGACGCGACTCTGCGTACACTTTCCCCGGGCAACGAACCAAGTCACTCGAAACCAATTTCAAAATTCCGGAAGCTGGTGGTTACTCAAGAATAACCTGCAAAGCTCGTTCACTCGGACGGTCGGGAACCAGTCACAAGCCCATTTTCTGGGCTTGACTCCCTCAGTAGAAAGTTACCAGCTTTCAAAAGCTGAGCGGCCAAAAACAGCACGAACACTTACTCGAAGTCTTGCAGGTGGCACAGCGCTGCCGCCTTGACTACGGAGTAGGCCGCGAGGTTTAGTTGGTGGGCGGCGTTCTCTTGTAAGAAGGGGGCGTCCGGTTTGGTCGTCACTTCGCCGGACAAGATCCTGCAGAAACGTAGCGACGCGTTCAGTGCGACAGAATTTACTGTAGACAAGCGTAAGATAGCTGAGCACTTCCCGCACATGTTGCCGGTGCCTAGGGCGGGCTTTGTTAAATCAGTGTTTGCTCTTCTCCAGCTACGAAGCCGCTAAGCAATCAAACCTGGGTGACGGGGCTGAATAATCAATCCCCCGCCAGACAGACTAAGACAATACTCAACTCACTCCTGATGACTCTCAAGCCTGTGTCAGCTTAGAAGCGGCCCTCGCAGCTGCTGTTCTTCTACTGGTTAAGCTGCCCCCGGGAAGCGCCTTTTCACATAGTCACAGCACAAAGGAAGAACGGAAGGACTACCGTAGATGCAGCGTCAGCGAACGGCTCGAGAACTCTACGAAATTCTAAGAAGGCAGAAAAACGAGAACAACCCGCATAACATGGTGTTCGCGTACCCGATGACTTGTTGCATCGCAAGCGCCAGCCCGAGCTGCTGCTTCTCTTTCATGCGGAGTAGCGTCTTGACGGCCTGGCCCACTCGCGTGCGCAGCGCAGGCAGGGGCAGTCCCCGGTGGAACTCAAACAGCGTGGCGAAGGCGAGGTTGAAAGCGGCGTATACGTGGTCACCGTGATCTAGGCAGCTGGCGGCACCGGCCTCCATTAGGGCGATGCACTCCTGCAAAATGAGCGGTAAAATCAAGAATCAACCGAAAGCAGATCGTGACGCCTGGCGTTTTGTTTCGTCCGGATGCCAGAAAGGAGGTGCGCTGCTACTGAGAAGCTTGCAGTGAACACTTTCCCCCATTTTAACCAACCCTTCTGGTTTGATTTTCCCCTTGAATTGAAAAGAGACAACGGTTGAAATACTTTGCTTCGCTCTTCAGCAAAAGGACAGAAAGTGAAGTTAACTAGTCAATGGAAGATTCCACAATAAGCAGAGCTATCTTTCATTGCAGCAAAGCCTGAACGTCTGTAACCTTAGAAGTCGAATGTGAACCGTCAGTCCGCGCGCATGTTGCATGCGCTTCCAACTAGCGGATGTCGCCTTCGACCTCGCTGCCGCTGAAAGCTTCGGCCGATAGCAAGAGCGAAACATGCTCAGGTCCAGTTGATCCTGCCCTTCCGGAATCCAGAAATCCCAACCAGACCTTTTGGCGGCTTCAGGTTTACTCCTCTGAACGCCCACTGGAATGACAACATTGGTACAGGAAATCTTCAGAGACCTTGGAAAGCGGAAAGTCGCCTCAGTAGCTGAAGGAGCGCACAAAAGCCGTAGTTATAGGATTCTAGGGTCTTGGAATTTTAGGATTTTTGGGCGAGGCGTGTCGCATCCCACCTCGAGGCTGCCCTTCCAGTGCGCCACCGCAGTGGCGAGCGTAGCGTTAAACTGCCCACGGCGCGTCTGGTCCGCAAACCGGTCCATAATCCGCAGCGCTGCAGCCCCAAGCGCGTGTCCCTGGTCGTAGCGCTTGAGCCGGATCAGGAAGAAACTTGCGTAAAGCGGGAGCGCCAGACAGGCCACCGGAGAATGTCCCCGCTCTAGTACCAGCGCGAGCATGCGCAGCGTGACGAGGTGAATAAGCCGCACGCGGCCCGCGCAATACGCGGCCATCGTCAGGCGGTCCAGTAGGCGCACAATTGCGAGCTCGCGCGGTGACGTCATTGCGGGGAGGGCGGCGATGTCAGCAGGCCCGACGCGCGAGAGGGCTTGTTCCAAATGTGTCTGTTCCGCCGAAATGGCGGTTTCGATCTCGGGGTCGGTTAAGGGTAAGGGGGCGCCCAGCGTGGCGAGACCTTCGGCGGCGTCCGGGAGGGTTTGGAGCAACTAGAGCGGGAGAAAAGGCGGGCGAGATGAGCGGCAACGCAAGACTTACGCGTATGCACCAATCCAATAAGGTTGGAACTGCTCTTTCAGAAGTACTTCTTCATTGCGCCTCTGAAACGCGTATTCGTTACCCTAAAGCTTGCATGGTTACCGTGTCCATCTCGAGGCTGGTTTCACCTCAGTGGGTACAAAAGCAGATTCTTCACAAGCGAGTTGGGAATGAGTTCAACCAACGCACAACCGAACGCCCGCCAAAAACACCGCCTTCTGACCTTCGCCGTCAAGATCTGTCTCCACAAATCTGGATCTTTCGTCAAACCTGCCGCAGGACATCCAATACGGGGAACCCGTTCGGGTTGTGACACGATGAGAGACTACCGCAAGACTCCTCAACTCCTAGGCAGTAGTGACAAGACCAACCCTACAGAGGCACATGCTATGCACGGTACCGGTTCCACGCTGCTTCTGCTGTCTAGATTGCAACCTAACTGTCTGGATTGAATCGCTCCGACATCAGTCAAAGAAAGTCCGATGTCTGCAAGGAGGTGAACGAAAACGGCGGACCTGTCCTGCCAATGTAAGGGCCTGTATTCTCAGCTCCAGTATGCGCAGCGTGCTGGTAGCGTCTCCTTGGAACCGGTCCTTGAGCTCGTTCAGCAGCTTGAGAGCCTCTTCGTTGGAGCCTGCCAAACAGGTGTCGCGAACGTTTGGTGCGGGCAAATTCAGGCTTTAGGGCTTTGCAAGATTTCCTCCAAAACCGTAGGCTCGACACTGCTTGTGTCAGATCCTCAATACGTTGCCGTTTTCGTGGAAGCCCCTTAGCAGGAGTCGCCAGCGTTTGGTGAGTGCGCAAGTTCATGATTTTGGGTCGTGTAGAGTTTCCCGCGAAACCCGTAGCTTCGAAAGCTGTTGTGTCAGATCCTCGGTGTTTTGCCAGCCACCTGCAAGTCCCTTCTTTCCACGTGTTGCCAATTTTCGACCAAAAAGCTACTTGGGTGGAGTTCAAACGAGCAAAAGGCCATCGCTTTACCACGACAATCCTTTCCCATCGTAAGCGATCAGACGCGCATGGAATAGCAGAAGCGAAGAACGAGCAGCCCCAAACGAAGCAATCGGCCTTGCACAACTCTTCAAAGCCCATCGCTGTATGGCTGGACCAGCCAGGCTTCAAAGTGCCAGGTTGGCACTTTGATTGTCTGCGCTTGGACTCCCGTCGATTTCGCTGGTTTAGCAAGTCAGTCTTATCCTAGTACTGCCGTCAAAAGCCTCGTGAAACAGAGGTGCCATCGAAGAACTTCATTCCCGGTTGCCAACCCACATTGCTGAGATACAAACTCGGGAACGAGCCAACTACAATACTAAAAATGGTCAAACACTCCCGTTGAAATGCCCTCTCACGTGCGGAGGAGGGCTGAGAGTGGCCCACCTGTCAGCGATACGCACTCGGCCTTGTCCTCTTGGAGCTCCAGCGCATGATTGACTTACGATGTCGAAAAAGCCAATGAATAAATCTCGAGATGGCCGTCGGGCTAAGAGCCTTTAGCGTTAAGAAGGAAGGCTGAGACCGGCTCACCTGTAAGCGAAAGGCACTCCGCCTCTTCCGCTTGGATCTCCAGCGCTAGTTGGGGATGTCGGCTCCATGCGTCCGTGCTTGACCCTAGCAACTCCGTGGCGCACCGGACGTGTTGCAGGGCGGCCTCGTACGCTGTAGCAGCCTTCGCCTTGCTACCTGTGCGCATCAACTTTACGTTCACGCAACCAGGGCTACGTTGAGTTGGACCATGCCCGGGAGATTCACCGGTTGGTTCTGAAAGTCAAGGGTCGGTGTAAGTGGGGCCTTTTGATTTTGACTTTCAATCTTCATTTTAGCTAAGCCCGAGGCACTGAGGTAGATCAACGTGAGCGTAAGTCCTTTAAGAACCCAAAAACATGCGACTTCCGCAAGAAAGCGATGCAATCGCGGCCATCGTCTTTACGGGGCACGTCTTAGCAAGAGCTTCAATTCCCTATTGCATGAACCACACGTCGCTGTGGTGCTGTACGTGCGGCGCTGTTCCACCAACGGGGGCTCATCGAGAGCAGTGTCCATTCACTCTTGGTCGGTCCACTTTCCTTTGCCATTTTGGCTCCGCCCCCGCACCCTTGACGAAGCACAAACCGTCTAACGAGCCCTCTACAAACCAGGAACTCCGGCCAAATACACCGTGACAAACTGGGTTCTGAGCTTTGAAGGTTCTGGATTCAGGGCTTTCAAAAGCAGAGGGTTTTCAGAGGTGAGTGTAGGGTTCGAGGGTCTGGTCTGACCTGCTGCCAGATTATCATGCGCGAGCCTGAGCCGCTCCGCAGGGTCGGTGATAAGCGGCAGCGCCTGGTTGAAATGGTGCAGGATGGCAAACTTGTGCTCTTCGCACTGTGCGGCGCTGAGCCCGGCCAGCAGCCGCCGCCCCACAGTCAGATGCACGCCCGCACGATCCGCTTCCCCAAGCTCTTCATATGCAGCCTGCGAAAGCGGAAACGACACTGATTCACGTTTTCTTGAGTATTTAGTGGGGCTTCCTTACCCTTGGCAGAGTCATCTCGCAAGCAGATGAAGGCGCAACCAATCGGCTTCCCGAGCTCGTAATACGCAACCTGCCCTACAGCGAAACACTATTCTTCCGAGCTTCCTCTGTGTTTGTTGTGTAAGCTGTATTTTTGGCGCGGCCAAGGGGAGATCGCTGTGTAGCATACGTAAGATTGAAAAATAAAAATTCAGTGCACCGATGGGGGCGAGAAGCAGAAGATGAGAACGAGGACCACTGGGGGCAGAAGTCTATTTTCCAGAGCACTTTTGGCGACATACTGCATAACGAAGAGGACCAAAGCCTGGCCACAGACGGTCGCTAACCCAACTTCAATGAGCGAAACGCCGCTCGTTGTGTGCCGAGTCTGCTCTACAACAACTTGTGCCTCTGCCAAAAGGGTGCGGAAGAGAAGGCTTTGTTCGGGAGCCAACGAATTGAATCCGGAATATTTAACAAGGATTTCACTTCTGCAACTCAACTTTACGAACAGCTCCAAGTGTTGACATGCTCCATCATATCCTGTTGACCTGCTTTTTAGAAACTCAGAAATCCTAGTAAATTCTAGGCCCCCAGATCCTTTAACGTGGGCACTGCACCGTTCACTTACCTCCCGGATGCGATCATGTCGGAAGTGGAACCGGACTGCGCTCAGGGTCGCAGCGTCCCAGTCACAGCGCTCGGTGTACTCCTCTCCTACTGGCAGCAGGAACCCCGCCGTCAAGGCCGGACGCAGCTTGTGAACCAGCTCCTTGGCGGGCTGCAGAAGATAAAAAGAAGAGATGAGTCGAGCTCTGCTCAAAGTGCTTCCCTTACGTGGCTATCTGGCGACACACAGTGTGTGCGCAGTAACTGCGTGCGCTGCAAATCTGCACCAGTGCTCTTTAGGGGGACCGCCAGAGCGGAGCCTCGGCTAACTAGTCGCTTTGGAGGACCGGTTTTCGTTGCCCCTTTTTCATGGACTTGGGTAGATACCAACTTGCTCGGTGAGAACGTAAGCTCTCCGGGAGACAACGTCGCTAGGGAGGCCAATCACATCAGCTCGACTGGCGACTGACCATGGAAGGCTCGACGAAAACGAGAGAAGATTGCCTGGACCGGAACTCGATCGTGCACAGGGATGTAAAGGGAACCACTGTAAAGTATAGTTTGCCCTTTATTTGGGCGCGCACGCCTTCTCACCCCCTGAGTGATGAGCGTGAGCCCTGTGAGGCAGAAGTCGTCCCCGAGGCAGGCCGCCAGGGACAGCACGGAGCGCGTCTTGCGTGAGGTGGACCTCGATCGTGCACAAGACTGGCACTGGAACAAGATTACCTTGATGTCGAATCGCCCTTAGTTTGCGCATCTTCTCACCTCGTGAGTGATGAGCGTGAGCGCTGTGAGGCTGAAGCCGTCCCCGAGGCATGCCGCCAGAGAGAGCACGGAGCGCGTGTTGGGCGGGAGCCGCGTGCACAGCTCGTTGGACATGAAGTCCACCACGTTGGTCGTTACCTGCGCCGCCGCGCGCAGCTGCTCGGGGTCGCCCCACCTGCAGAAAGATTGCGCACCTCAGGCATCGTCTGGAGCGTACCCACGTCTTTCGAAATTCGTCTGGAGAATGGTGGTAAGAGGCGCAAGCCACAGATGTAATCTCCATGGGACTGGTGGAGCTAGTTTGGGACTTGAAGGTGGGCACGAATACGAATCAGGTAGACTTTCTAGGTGTGGAACTCTTCAAGTATCCTCCTCTCGTGATGTGCCGGAGCGTCTCATAATATTCAACAGTATGCGTCCGTTGGGGAAGCGAATGGGAGCGCTACTTCCGTGCGTAGCGTGCCGCTCTGCCCGACGTGACGCATCCGAGATATTAAATCAGTAAGCTCTTGCCAAATATAAGACGGGACCCCCAAAGAAACTTTCCGAACCTATGGAGAGGCAGCCATGTCCAGCGGGCGTTTCCAAGATGCCAGAGCGTGCTTTCAAGCCCAGTCAACTCGCAAAGCCCCCTTACTGATTCGCTTCAGCCTGCTTTGTATAGGAGAGAACCTCAAGTTGGGCAGACTCGCCTCCGTTTCAGGAACAGATTCAGCTAAGATGATAATATGTTAACCGCACAAGAACAGATTGTAGGGTTAGTGTGAAACTTTGGGGTGGGTAGGGGTGCGAAGCAGGTGAACTCTTGGATTAGGGGTTCTAGGTTCGTCGGAGCTTGTTGGAATCCTTCTTGAAACATTAACAAAGCGTACACTTCTTCAACCCACCTGCACTCGCCGGTGTCCTTGTCGAACCATAGCAGGTTCTCACGCACTAGCGCCTGCAAAAACTGCAGCTCGTAGAACGGGTTGCCCTCCGTCTTGTCGTGCACCACCTGCAGTGTGTCACTTCATTGGGGTCAGCGTGACGTCAGCACGATCTCGCAGGCAACGAGCACGACGTTGTCACCAAGCGCAAGCACAACGTCAACGCACCTGCTTGGGTCACAGCTGTAGTTATCTGGGTTAGTGCCCGGGACCGGACTGGGTTCCAGAGACGTTTTGAGGGGTTCCATGTCGGTAGGTATGGGCAGGGAGACTCTAATCTGTGCTCCAGAAAACTCAACTTTGTCGATACTAAGCATTTGCGTCCACCAAAGACCATGAGGGCCCCATTCTGATCCTCAGAATCGATAATGTCACTCAGTCAATACAGCGTTCAATAAGTACACACAAAGCACACCACACGTTGTCCGCTGGAGTTGTAGCGTGCTCAACCGTGCTCGGACCAAGGTGGGCGTCCGGGTCCGGGTCTCCGAGAGCGACCGTATAGCGGAGGCTCGGCTCTGACGGTCGCCCCAAAAAGCACGTGATCACGGATTCGCAGCGACACCCCATCACATCTCACTATCTGTATGTCACTAGAATGCCACGTGGGTAGACGCTCTCTTCTAGAAAGGCATACCTGAGCAAGCTCCGCAACGGACGGCCCCTCCTGCTGTACGCACGCGGCCACCAGCGCCTGCGTGTCGTCTGACGTCAGCGGGCCGAGGTGCAACGTCACCAGCTGCAGCGACTCCTGCTGCGCCAGGCTGGCCTTGAGCCGCCTCAGCGGGTGGCGCTCGTCGACCTCGAGGTGGCGGTACGCACCGACGAGCAGCAGCGGGAAGTCCGGTTCGTACCGCGCGAGCGCTTCCAGGAGGCGCAGCGACGGCAAGTCCGCCCACTGGAGATCGTCGAGGAACAGCACGAGTGGCGCGCGCAGCTCGGCGCAGCACCGGATCAGCCGCACGAATGTCTCCAAGAACCTGCACGAGGAAAATTTGATTCTTTTCTTTCCTTTGGGTGTGTTATTCGTTGGTCGAGGCCGACTCTGCCGCCCAGTACGCAGGTGGGTGCAAGCCAATGCGCGATCGGCTCGTTAAGACCAGAATTCCGACAACAGCCGAAGTAACTTCGTGCCTCTTCCTTCTGGCCACGCGTTGGCTTGTCTAAACGTGCTCAAAGTAGAGGGCAGGAAGTGGCAGAAGCTCTTCATCTAATGCATGCCACGCGACGCTGATGAAAGAGATACTGCTGCTTTGAAGAGGCTGCAACAACAACAGTCCGTGAAAAGGTGTTCTCGTTCCCGAATTCATCAATAGAATCGCAGTTCCCCTCCTCTTTAAGAAAAACAACTCAAATGCTATGCAGTGCGTTTCCACATCGCCTCTGCCGGTACTGCGGCCACGTGGGAAACAGCTGATTGCGGCCCCAAAAGTTGGCCCAGCGCAGGCAGCTCGTTGCACGTAAAGATCCTAAGCTTTCAGGCGGCCCAGAATTTAGTTTTTACTTTACTCCTCCACTTAGGGGCGATGCACCTTTTGAAAGCGTGCTTGCGACATCTCTGTAAGAGCCCACCAGCACCCTTCATAATACAGAAGCTGCAAGACACGCTTTCAAACCGAAAACACGACACGGGAGGCGACAAAGCCTTCGCTCTGATCTGGCCTCTGCAGAGCTTGCGACCATGTGCGAACGTTTGATTGAACCCCACAAGGGCAGCGCAGCGCAGCCCTCTGATCGCGCTTTTAGAGTATGTTTGTATTTTTACCGCGACCAGGCACTTGCTCGCTCAGACCACATATTCAAAGTGAAAAAAAATAGCGCAACGACTGCTGACCTGGCCTGCATCTGGTTGCTCATGAAGATCTAAAGCTATTCAAAAGGCGCCGCTTGAGTTCCTCAAACCACGAACATTGACAGCGAAAGCGAGGTAACACTTCCTGACCTGGCCTCTGCCGGAGTTGCGTCCGTGTGCGGCACCTCCGGCTGCGGCCCCAGAAGGTGGCCCAGCGCGGGGAGCACGTCCGTCATGAGACGCCCGTTTGTGCCCAGCGCCTGCTGCAGCTGGTCGCGCCACCGCCGGACAGTGCCTCCCGGCTCCCCTAAAACCTGCTTCAGCAAACCCTGCGTAGGGAACGAGTTGGAAGACCATTAGCCTCTGTGTAGATTGGAACATTGCGCGTTCTGAATCCCTTAAAACTCGGCATTGCGCCCTTTCCTGCCCAGTGCGTGCTGCAGCGGGTCGCACACCCGCCGGACGGGGGTGCGACCCGTCCGGCGGATTCTCAAGAACCTGCTTCAGTAAACTCCGCATATTAACGACACAGGAGAACAATTAGGCTGTGTACTGTGTGGACAGGAAAGTTGCTTGTCACGAGACGTCCATATGTGCCCAGCGCCTGCTGCAGATGGTTGCGCCACCGGCAGCGGTGGCCCCCGGCTCGCGGGGACACCTGCTTTAGCACTCCCTGCGTACAGGACAACATGGCGGGACCATCGACATCCACCTACACCGGAGAGTTGCTTCGACGAGGTCTTTCAGTATTGGCACGGGCTGGGAAGCGACATGAAGGATTCCGTCAAGCCGCCGGGCTATTGAAAAGCATCCAACCTGGAATGTCCGCACATAGATTCTGCAGGCACAGTTGCTGCGCTGCCCTGCTCACTAATGGGGAATAGAACGCTTCGGGTATAGATGAAACGATGCCAGCCCGAGACGGGTAAAGTTGGTTTCCAGAAGGTTGGAGTGAAGGCGCAAATCAGGTGACTTACCGATTTGAAGATATAATCTACCGTTCCGAGCTTCCTGTTCCCAAAATCGACTGTTTCCAAACACTCACTATCAAGCTCAGTACTCCCAACATTTAGCTAAAGTAGTTTGTAGGTAGCATAGCAACAGACCCCGGGGAAGAACAAAAGTACAAACCTAAACCGACAAATGTACCCGCTCCGCATCGATACCCACCCTAATCCTCCAACTAACCCCACCCGTTCGCCACGCCAGGATCATAACCTACCTAGAACCATCCTACTCAAAACTACAGGTACATGCCAGCTCACCTGCATCGCCGCAGTGACGGCCTTGAAAGGCGTGTCGCGGCTGTACTGGTCGAACTTGCCCCGGGCAAGCGCGCCCAGGCCGCAGCTGGTGGCCACCGATTCTTCCACCAGCGCCGTTTTGCCAATGCCGCTGTAACCCGTGATCAGCACCACGTTCAACGTTCTGCAGCTCGCAACGCGCGCCAGGCTGGCGCGCAGCTGCGCGGCTTCTGAGGCGCGCCCGAGGATGCGGTCTGGGGCACGTAGCCGGCCTGCGGGGAAAGACGAGGTTTGGGCTGAGGAAGTGTCTTTGGAGCTTGGAAAAGTAAGGACGTTTTATCTTGCCAAGACGTTCGACAAGCACGAGATCAAAGGAACAGCGGTTTCGTTTTGGACACGGTGACGCGCCCGAGGATGCGGTCTGGGACACATAGGCGGCCTGCCGAGAAAGAGCAGGTTCGGAAGGTTGAAGGTAAATGTCTTTGAAGCTTGGAATAGCGTTTTACGATTTTATGACCGGTCCGCAGTGCGTCCGAGAATGCGCGTAGCCGGCCTTCTGACTTCGATACTTAGTGATTCTTCGAATGGAAGTAGAAAGGCAGATAGCATATCTTAGAACTGTTCGATTGGCAGCCTTGTAGTACTCACCGACATGGTCGAGCCTGCCCAACGGAAACGGCTGCAAGTCTCCTTTCGCGAGCATGTCCAGGCAGGTCTGCAGGTCCGCGCGCAACCCCGCGGCCGTCTGGTAGCGCGCCTCCGCGTCTTTTTCCAGCAGCTTCATCACGATGTGCGACACGGCAAGAGGGACGCTAGGATCGACTGCGGTCGGAGGCTGCACAAAGACATGGGTGAATCGGAAGCTAAAAGACATTAGGCAATCAACCAACATAATGAGGGTCCATGTGAGTTGCCGCAAGTGCTGCCAATCACTTGTGGAACCCCGTGCGGTCAGGATGTCAAACAAGAAAGGATGCCCGGGACATCATATCCGGGCGTACACACATGGCCACTGACAATAGACTCGCTTAGCTTCAACAGTGCCTGCAGTCAAAACCTGACTTGACAAACCCTTCTGAGATACCAGCTTGCCTCATAATACCGGATGGAAGGCACCCCAAATCTTGGCGCGAAGAACCAACTCCGATTCTGTCTGCGAGTCCATGCCGCTGTCAAAGCATTAGATTTGGTCGAATCGCCCACATAAGCCACATAATAGAAGGTAACACAATGAAAGAAGTCGGACGGAATTGGTAACCTTCAAAGCACCAATCTTTTCACCCTTGAATCGCTGCTCTGAGGGTGGGCACACACAACCATGCATACCTGCGGGACCACCGCGATGTGCTGGTACAACAGCTGCTGCAAGTCCTCGGTGCGGAATGGGCGGTGCTCCGTCAGGAGCTCGTACAGCATCACGCCCAACGAGTAGAGGTCGGTGCGCGTGTCCACCGCCCGATTCACGCGCCCCGTCTGAACGTCGCCAAACGGATCGTTAGTCCAGGACAGCAAGCGTTGAGGCTTTTGGACCGTTTCTGAAAGTTCTTTCGATCCCGGATGAAAATGGCGACTAGGTAGATTTTTGCCGAAGGTTAGTGGGAAAAGGAACGGAACCCTGGACTGCTGCTGCAACATTTTGGACCAACCGGCCCGAATCGCAGAGAAAAGGGAGCCTGAGAGCTGTAGAAACAGTGTCTGCACCATTGCAAAACAGATTTTATCCACTGACTGGTTTCTTAAACTTTGGGCCTCAAAACAATTTCTCTGCTTGCACCACGCATTGAAGTGGTGAAAAGAAGGCAACTTGAATGATACTTGGACTTTGATTCGTGTTGATTCCATCCCAGCATATCAACAAACAAATCCTTGAACAGACAGCTCTGATGTGGCTGGCATTTCAGGACATAGCGTGCCCACTCCAAGAACTTGGAGAAGTGCCACGTTCTCAGTACCAGACTCGTCTGCACTTGGCCCGCGCCCAGCTCTTCAATTGGGCTTTCGTCGCAGTACCCTTGCGATTAACCAAAGCATCAGAAGAAACGCAGGAACACCACCGTACCTGCTCAGGGCTGATATATGCCGCAGTCCCCTTCATTACATCCGAGGGCACGAGCATGGAGCTCTCTTCCGTCAGCCGGCTCGAGATGGAGAAGTCAGTGAGCTTGATCGCCGCCAGCTGATCTACGACCAGCACGTTGGCTGGCTTTACCTGCAATCCGTACTTGTTTACTTTAGTGACAACAAGGTCGGTGAACAACAAGCCTTCACCTGACTCTGACGCGAAACCAAAGACTTGCATGCTCCACACCCGCACCTACACCCACCCTAACCACCCAACCGACCCCACCCATCCCAGCACTGTCTTCGTATTATTCACTTAAAACATTGTTTTCTGCATCGACGGAATTGCAGACGCCAGCCCCTAGTCCGCTTAGCGCTTTTTGAGGACGACCGCCTACGAGGGTTTCATGTACTGCTGAACTCTGAAGTTACTGGCTGAGGGCTTTTTGGTTTTGTGGATTAACAAGGGGTTTCAGGATTCAAAAGAAGCGTTGAGGGCAGGTTGAGAGGTTAGTGTGGGAATTATATCAGCAATCAAGGTTACCAAAGTCTTTGATTGCTTGGGAATAGGCAAGACTGTAATTCACATGTGTTGCCGGCTGTTGAAATGTCTCAAAGGGGAGCAGAAGGAAGTCCTCTATTCGACTTTGCTTGAGTGCATCTTGCGATAGCTATCGGAGAACATATCGGTCAGACTGATTGTAAGTCAACGCATGCTGTAGACAGAAGAAAGCCAACAGAAGCAACCTGATGTGCCGCTCGGTTCCAATTGATAGGTTGATTGATCTGCCGCATTCGATCTCTCAGAATATACATGTTACTGCTGAGACAGGTAATTTCTACATCAAACCGGCCAATCGTTGAGAATCCTGCAAGGGCGCAGCCTCCGATGCTTCATAGTTTGCGGTCAATTGAAAGCCAATCCATACGTTGAGCACTAACATCTATAGGTGTACTCAAATGTGGGCCTCCTTGTTCTACCTCCTGGCCACACCTGGGGTTTGAGGATGCAATTCTGGAAATGTGAGCAGCTGAGAAATTCAGGACACCAAAATGGGCCCCACAAACCGCCAAAGAAGAAGCGCCTCACATCTTGGTGGATGAGGCCGGCCTTGTGAAGGTGCTCGAGCGCACTGGCGATACACGTTCCCAGTTTCAACACGTCATGCACACTCAGCTTGGCTCCCTTGACATACGCCTTTAGCGATGTGGCTCCCAGGTCTTCCAGGACCAAGGCCGTTCGTCCGGCATATTCCACCACTTCAATCGGACGCGCAATATACGGACACTCCTGAGGACGACGAGGGAATGCATGTGAAAGTACTCCCTAGAGATCTTAGCAAACCCAGTTTTGCTGGACTACAAGTTGTCAGACTTCGGGCCTTCAACACTAAGAGCTCAATTACCTTGCGGCAGTCAGATCACGATCCACAAACCAGCGATATGATTGCAGGAATGCAAACAGCGCAGCGCGCAGAATGAGAAGGCTCGAAAATTCTTACATAGAAGAAAGTCCTCACGCACATGAAGTTTCAGTGAACTGGGTAATCTGTGATGACTGGCAATCAACTAGTGAAGATAACAGCAACGCTAAGGTGGTCCCGTTTTAGGAAATTGTGCTTCTTGTTGCTCTTGAGCTGCACCGCATCAGCTCCCAGGAAACTGAAACCTTCCTTCTCACCTGCAAATCTTTGGTGATGTCATATTCTCTATGCAGCCGTGCTCGTGCTGCAGGGGACGTAACCGCTGCCGGCACAGTCTTCAGGACCACCCAGGTATTACCGTCCTCGCGCAAGGCCCGAAAGACCACCGAGTGCGATGTTCGGTGAACCTCTCCGCCAATACGAAAGCCGGCAAACTCAGATACTTCATTCCGCGTCATAGCCGCTATGCTTTCATCCACTGCAAGGTGACGGAGGCATCCTCTCAGATGGATGCAAATCTCAAAAATAAATCAGCATGTAAAGCCAGTGGTTTCAATATTTCGATGCACGGGTAGCTCTGGCTGTCGGCGACGAGCTGGTTAGGGACTGACGATGAAAGAGGACGGCAGCTTGCTCACATAGCCCGCCTCTCAGGAATTCCTGCAATTTCCTGATCTATGTTGTGTCAGGACATGCAGGCATCTCCCATCGAATCTCAAGCTTCAATTGCGTACAGCCAGCTGCCCTATGTTCGGCACCCATACGGTATGGGCTTTCAAGAGGCGGCAGGAAGCACTCCAGCAGCAATGGCATCATCACAATCTTGGGATAGCTAGCTGTGCAGCGGCGCCTGCCAATGCCAATGGACTGCACCTGTCACGGTGCAAGGCATGACGCTTTCTTAGGTTCGCTTTCATAGGTTCAATCAATCAATCAATTTATTTTGTAGTCCCGTAGGAGCCATGGGTAGCTCATGAGACAAGGTCTGAATGTAGTCTCGAGTCCTAAACGCCTCTCTAACAAAGCTAGCAACCCTCTGTTGGTTACTCCTGACCCT